TCTACTCTACTCTACTCTACTCTACTCTATTCCAAAAGGCCCTGGCAGCAATGTGATTTGCAAAGACAGAAAGGTATGGAAAGCTATAATGAACGGAGCTGCTAGAAATGAAATTTAGCCATACAGGTAGTCTTTGACTTAAGACCATAATGGGCAGGGCCCATTACGATCATAAGTCTTACTGTCATTAAGCAAGTCACTCATGTGACCGACCCAATTTTACAATTTTTTTTGTGATGGTTGCTAGGTGTATTAAGTAAAGCAATTGTTCACTATGGGCCAGTTATGAGGGATGTGGCTGCTGGAACCGGGGTTGTAAATATCTCTGGGGAGAAACATCAAAACTTTGAATATTGCTAAGCAACCAGTCATAAGTCAAGGACTGCCTGCATTTTCTTTTAGTGTTTTTACTCCTTTTCTGCCTTTTGCATGTTGCTCATCCTGAAAGAGAATAGCATACAGATAGTCCCCAACTTACAACAGTTCATTGACACTGAAAAAAGTCACTTGTGACCGTTTTTCACACTTACAACTATTGCAGCATCCCCAGGGTTATGTGATCAAAATTCCGACGCTTGGCAACTGATTCATATTTATGACAGTTGCAGGGTCATGTGATCACCTTTTGCGACGTTCTGACAAGCAAAGTCACTGGGGGAAGCCAGGTTCACTTAAGAACTGCATTACTAACTTAACAACTGCAATGATTTACTTAACAACTGTGGCAAATGCAAATGACCAGCTTTCTGCAAGCAATATAAATCCTTCCACTCCCCACCATCCAGTCAGAGCTAAAGAAGCTTCTTGGATGAGAAGCAAAACATCTTCAAAGAAAAACAAGAAAGTCCAGTTGCCTCCTGAAAAAGCACCTTGACCTTGACCTGGATGACTGAGAATCTCCAGACATTTGCAAATTGGAAGTAAGGTTAAGAATGTGGATGTCACAATTTACCCTGAGAATAAAAGGTCTGACAGTTTTTATATAGATAATCTAGATAAATCCGAGATTAACTCATAAAGCAATCATTATGAAAATACCTGGAAAACAATGTCGTAAGCATGGGTTTTTTAATAGCCTTGCCGGATTATTTTTAACTAATTTTTAATCAGAAATCTCCCTTATAATCTGGTTGAACGTGACATAGGATATTTTTTATGAATCCATGGCTAATACCTCAATTATTGCAGCTGGGTCAATAATCCACAATTAAAATAAACCATGGTTTACCGCAGTATGTAAGTTTAGTGCTAGCTCATTTTCTTGTGTACTGGTAGCTGGTAGATATTCTCCAGGTTTTCAGAGAGGAGCTTTTCTCAGTTCTCTGGGATGGCAAGGATTAAACTTGAGGTGTTTTCAATACAAGGCCTGGGCTTCCCCACCGAACCCTCCGCCTTTTCCCTCATCATCAGATTATTGTTAAGAGACTTTGGGGGGGGGGGGGCATCCTCCGGCTTTTCACCTCCAGTATCAGTTGTTGTGATTCTTTCCGTGAACAGCTTTGCTGGATAGAATCTGGAGCCAATATGGCCTCTTTGGGCACTACAAGACTCAACGTCTTGGTATGGCGGTGTTTGCGGTAATTTCTCAAGGCAGACAATTTCCCATACGATTTGTATTAGAGGGAGAGTCAGCCATTCGTTTAGCAATCCTGCCACAGTAGCCATAGCAACTTACTGCGATGTAAAAAGATCGCATTAAAACCAGGGGTTATCATTTGTGCTACAGGAAATGGAAATGAAAAGAGCAAAAGCTCTTCCCTGCTGGGAAGGAGAGAAGGAGGAAGAAGAGAAGGAGGAAGAAGAGAATGTCAGCTGAAGTTTACCTTGCCATGTTTGTCAAGACTGCAAGAAATGGGAAAAGGAGGGAAGGAAGGAGAGAGGAAGGAAACCTCATTGATCACCCTGGAGAAAAGGAGAAGAGATGGGAAGACAGGTAGAGATAGCACTATAGATGCCATTAGAAAGCCAAAAAGAAATTCACCTGCTCTGGCAGCATGCTGCAAAATATCAAGTCTAGTTACGGACAAGACAGTTCAAAAAGATGAACATTTTCAGATTGTAAATTGGTACATGGGGACTTCTTGGAGCCCACGTTTCTCTCACTCAGGAGATAACCCATTCTTCTGACTTGCCCCACGCTCTCCTGGTCTACCACTTTCCCTGCACCTCAGTGTGTTTTTGTAGCATGAACAAGACCGAGGAAGGGTAAATTTGATATGGACTCCTAAGTTCAGCCCTCATATCTCCAGTGAAGTGTAGGAAGTTTTACCTGCAGCACTGATGAGATCCCCAAGTTGTCAAGACTGCGCTGTACCTGCTCCATGCTCTTCTTCAACTCAGCAATCTCTTCTATGAATTGTATGGAAGCGTTTTCCAGTCTCATCATACACTGTTCTTCTTCTCTAGCCAGTTCCATCAGCATCCTTCCTTCCTCCTCTTGGAGGATCTGATGAAGATGTTGAAATGCTGCTTGGATCTCCGAGTTCAGTTTCCCAGATGTTGTCTGGACAAAGATCACAAGAAATAGAAACAAGGTGTATGTTTGATATATTCAACAGCTATTACATCCATAAAAGTTTTGTGGGCAGCGTTATCATCACTTTGTTAAAGAGGAGAGCAAAGCATGCTTTTAAAGCTTTCAGCTCTCTTCCTAGCGATCTGCACAGCCACAGGGCGGCAGTTGTATCTATGCTACTGTTTAATCTGGAATTGTCCTGTCTCACTTTTACAGAGAATCCAGATGTTGCAGTTAATTCATTGCACCAAAATTTCCCCAAGCTATTCCTTGGTCTTCTTTCAAACAGACTTGAAGATTTTTCTCATTTAAAGGCAATTATGGTGCTATTCTTTTAGCATGGTCTGGCAGAACACTATTGAGTCTTTTCAGAGCTACTGCAACTTTAATTTGAAGCTTCTTTTTTGTGACTTATTTCTCTAATTGCTTCTTGTTCAGTGTAACTGCAAGATTACTTTGTTCCTTGATTGGTCTTTATGTGGAACAGTTCCTTTCCCACATGGAATAGTTATAATGATTTGACTCTCTTTGTTCATTTTCTCCTCTATCTTTTATTGAAAAATATTGCTATATTCTTACATTAAAAACAGTCCTATCACAACAGGGTATGACGCAAATGTATAATAACCACTTATCCAGCAATTAATCAGTAATACTATGTTAACAGTATGTGAACAAGAGGCAGAAGCTGAATGTATGGGTTTTTCAAAACACCTGGAGAACACCAGATTGAAGTGGGCCTTTTCTGCTAAATGCTTGCATTCGTTTTTTTTTAAAATCAGATTTATTAAAGGCCTTTTACCATCGTTTGTAAGCTTGTGAGCATTTTATTTGCCCCTCTCCAATTTTCTGTAAAAACAGCAGTCCACCTGTTTTGAGGATCAATACTGTGATAAAAAAGTCTTGTCTAGTTACATTATCACTGACCTCCTCTCCCCTGCCATTCAATTTCATTGTGCACAAAATTATAAAAACAGATTACACACTGCTTATATTCAGGGGCATCAAAACAAGCCCCAATGTTTATCTGTCTTGTATTATTTGATTTCTTTCTTTCTTTCTTTCTAACACTCCTCTGGTGTACACTGAATGTGAAGCTTTCTATAGTGAGTCTCAATGGGCTCAAAATGATTAGAGTTAATTTTGAATTCTAATTACTTCTTTTGAAGTGAACATTACTTGCTACTTACTGTCATTTCAAACTAGCAACAATTAGACTACCCAAGCCTTTCAAACATTGTCATTATATATATTATATATAATGAATGAACAACTAACAGAATGATTACAGAAGCTTTCATGAACTTAAATCTAATGCTTCTGATATCTGCCTGCTTCCAAACTTTACTCTAGATAAATTTTGTTGAAGGTGGATTAGATGTACCATTTCTCTGATAAACTGGAAGACTATTATTACTTATCATGTTCCTTCACCTTGATGACTTCAAGGGTAAATCATAGTCTTTAATTTTTAAAAAGCCTATTCAATGATTACTGTTAGCTATTCAGAAACTGCTGCACAATATTTAATATTATTTCTGACAAGACATCAAGAGGAAAACTATGATGGTTTAGCAAATATCTTCCCCACACTCAGAAGTATGTGTGTTTAAATTCCTAGGTTGTTTAAAAAAAACTTAATAAAATGTTCTAATACATAATGTATCTGAATGAAGTACAAAAGAAAAGCAGAAAGTTGAGTGTTTCTATTTCATTTTAATTTTTAAATTATCAGCGATTGCTGTATTATTAAGGTGGCCAATGTGGCACAGTCATTAAGACTTTGAACTGGGGAGATCCAAGTTCAAGTCCTGGCAAATCATCATTCAGAGGCTTCTGTTACAGATAAAATGGATACCCTACATATCTTGGTACAGAAGAAATGCAAGATAGAGATATCATAATCAATAGAAAGCAAGCCAACCAATATTTAACATTTTGCCTAATTAAACAAGAATACACCCCCTCCCATACCAACTTAGTTTTCTTGGGGGTAGGACATAAACAATTTGTGAAAGTTCATACAAATCAAAAGTTCATGCAAACCAAGGCAGTTCTTCTCCACCAAGCTCAAGTTTAGTGCTGTTTGTTGGCAAGAACCAGCATTTTTAACTGGACTTAAAACACAATGAATGGCAATGATGTTAAAAAGGTAGAGTAATGTGATCAGCAAACCACATGTCAGAAAGAATCAACTGCAAATTCTAAATAGTCTATATTTTAGTAGTTTAAAAGAGAAATAATCACAAGATGAAGAAAGTGGACAAATATGTCTTCTCTGGTAAAGGGCATACTATTAGAGTGTAGTAGACAATGACATCCTGATCACAATAGCCTCATAACTGTCTGGGATGAACGCTAAAGCATACCAAGCTATAAACTTGATTCTTCAAAAGGTGTTATATCTACTCCTATTGCGCATTAAGTTTAATCCATATTGTCGTGAGCTTAATTCTGTTAATTTATCTCTGATGACTAGACACCAATAAAGGACATGAATAATCTCCCTGAGTCCAGCTGACCAAGAGGGGAAGAACTGGGTATCATCAAGCACGATGTTTTCTCCTGGCTTCGTGTGGGTCAGATAAAAGCATAGGGAACAAAACAGACCCATGACAACCTGTCAGGTCCCCAAATCCTTATTGTTTTCCTTGCATATATACTCTTGTGCTTTTGTTTTGGGGCCTGCCATTCTGCTGGGGGGGGAGGGGGGATATTTGCTTCCACCTGGGATAACTTTTGTTTTCTGCTTTTCTTCTCCCGCCTCTATCCACTTGAGAAAGGAATGTGTCTCCCTGATAAAGAGAAACAAAACTGGAGAAGACCTTGAGATGCGTGCCAACTGTGCCAATCACCCGCACATCGTGCCACCTGTGGATTGGCTGGATTTCAAATGGACATTGTGACTTTGGTAGGAGGAGGAATATTGCTAGCTTAACTATACTGTTTAAGCGGGATTTTCTCCAGATCTCGCCTTGACTTCCCTACTGTCACTAACCCCTAATAAAAGTTTCCTTTTGAAACAATGCCTGTTTCAAGATTTCTGCTGTCTTGGGTGGTTAGCTGAGGTGGGTCCTTACACAACCCCTGACATTAAGCAGCAGCCTTCTCCCGAGTCACTAATAAAGTCCAACTCCATGGACTGGCTGCATCGCCTCTCATTCTGATGACCACCGCTACACACTGAGGGATTCCTAGTAAGTAATTATCCTGCATAAAGGATTAGGTGCCTTTTTTCTTCACTGATATGCTATCCATGGAGACAATTACTTAGGGTTAAATGTTCCTTGATCCTTATTTTGCATTCATCCTTCCTGCAGTATAGGGAAATGAGAACATTTACACATATATAGGAGAAAAGAATAAAATATCTTTCTGACTCAGTATAATTTGTTTTCTTGGAAAATCCAGGTATTCAGCCTGGAATTCTAAACATCCCTTACAATGGCTTCAGAGTAAACTCTTACGTGATGTCTGCTTGGGTGCTGAAAAGTCAGAGCCCAACGTACTCTGCAAAAGGAATAGAGGCTTGAATAATAGAGTACAGATAGTCCTTGAATTACAACAGTTCATTTAGTGACCGTTCAAATTTACAACAGCACTGAAAAGTGACTTACGACCATTTTTCACACTTACAACCTTTGGAGCATCCCCATGGTCACGTGATTTACATTCGGATACTTGACAACTGGTTCGTATTTATGACGGTAGCGGTGTCCCAGGGCCATGTGATCATATTTTGCCAACTTCTGGCAAGCAAAGTCAATAAGGAAGCCAGATTCACTTAACAACCTGTGTTACTAATTTAACAACTGCAGGTGATTCACGTAACAAATGTGGCAAGAAAAGTCGTAAAATGGGGCAAAACCTAGCAACATAAATTCCTGGGCTTAAATGTCATTAAGTTGAGGACTACCTGTATACCTGCTTGTTTAAGGAGAGAATGCTATCTCTGAAACCACCATGTGCTGGTGAAGAAGTCAGGTGGTCCAGTCCATGCTCAGTTTAAAGATGAAGAGGCAAATGCTTTCCATATGTGGAAAGAAACGAGATTAATTTATAACACAGGGGTTCTTAGATGTTTTCAGGCCTATTAGTTAACTCTCTGCCCAAAATTTCTATAAGTTCTGATCAAGAGGCAAAGCAGTAGTGATATAAAATTGGCAACATTTGAGTGACTCCTCCTTTTTTTTTGTTTCTTTTACTCATGGAACCCCATCAAGTTCTTGTGGAGGGAGACCTGGGGCTCAGCAAAACAAATTGAGATACCTGATCTAGCCCATAAAAAGATTAGATCAGGTTCCCCAAATGATTATCTACCCCCAAGAATCAATGGGACTATCCAAGGGGTTGATATTATATTTGTAGAACTATTAATTAAAATGGTGTTTATTAAATTATTTTCAAATAATTAACGTTTGGGGGAGTCAATGAGCTAAAATGTTTTAGGTTAGGGTCTGAGTTAGACACTAAAATATGCTCTTTTAAGCCATGGATAACCACTTCCCAAGAGAGTCCCAGTTGTTGAGTGGTTCAGCAAATGCTCAGCTTGCCAAGATGACTAACATGGTCAATACAACTTTGGTGACATATTTCAGTTCTCTCAAAAGGGCAGAATCTAGTCTTTTGGAAAAATTAACGGAATGCTCTTTCCCTTAGCTATGTCCTCTGCCAACTCTTAAAAACTAAACAAACCATCATGAAAGAAAAACACCACCCAAAATTGATTTGTGTTCATCAGCCTTAAAGTGTTAATTCTATGTACAAACGGGGAAGCATTTATTAAACCCAGAAAGTCCACTTATTGAAACAATCCCATACAACTTTTTTCAACCCATGACCCTCCACTCATCCTGCCAATGAATTCAAGAAACCCTTACAAATCTATGATGTGTTTCTGAATGAACACATTTTTGTTTCTCTCCTATTGTATAGAGCAGGGCTTTTCAACCTTTTCACCGATTGTACCACTTTTAGGATATGGCAATATTCGAGTACCACCTAGCAAGGTGTCAAAAACGTGATGACCCCAAAAAAACTGTTCAAAGTTGCAACTGCACTAAAATGACTTATGACAATTTTTCACACTTATGACCATTGCAGCATGCCCAGGGTCATGTGATTTATATTTGGATGCTTGGCAACTGATTCATATTTATGATGGTCAGAGTGTCCCAGGGTCATGTGATTCCCTTTTGCAACCTTTTGACAAGCAAAGTCAATGGCAAGGCTGTTGGTAGCCAAGTGCAAAGGCGGGACTTCCTTCCCTCCCTGCCTCCCTCTTTCTCATTCCCATCTCCTTCTGAAGGAAGAATTTGACACCCCCCCCCAATATTTTCCCTCTTCCATATATTCATCAAACAAGGAAACGCCTCCAGAGACAGAAAAGACAAGCCGCTGAGGGAACTAGCTTAAAAAGGTGCATTCCCCTTTAAGGATTAGCTACTGGCTAGAAAGGAAAGTTAAGGAGCCGGCAGCCAGCATTTAAGGAAGAAAAAAATGTAGTATTGACTGCCGGCCAAGGCAAGCCTCCCCAAATGGCTCCATTCATAAGTAAAGGAATGCTACAGGCAAAATCCATTCAGGAGAAAAATACTTCAAAATCCCTTGCAGCAAAACTTACAGCTAACAATAGCAGAACAATAGAAGCTAACACATCAGCCATCAGCCAAGTAGAAATTGCCAAACACTCCTTAAGAGCACAAAGCCCACATTGCACAAATCCCAGAACTTCAAAGTCACAAAAGCACATAAAAATATTTCCACTCTCCATCTCCCTTCCTCCCTCCCTCCCCTCCAGCCAATGCTGCCTTTCTTCATTGCTACCTTTCTTCATTCCTTGTGGAGGGCACCCCTCCCCCGTTTCTTGCCTGTTTGTTGCTGCCAGCACAGATGGCTGCCACAGAAGTTGTAGATCGGCTCATGGCCGGCCTGATTGATCTCCTCTCCTCTCCCCCCACCCTCCCCCTTCTTCTTTCCCTTCGGTTCAGGTAGAGCCGACTCCGCCTCCTCCCAAGGCTGCCTCTTTTTCTCTCTCCCTCTCCCGCCCAAACTGCCTCCTTTTATAGCCTCTCCTGTCTCCGCCCCCTCCTCCTCCTTTCGCTTCTGGGTGAGACGGAAGTGCTGATCCTGGGGCCTTTGCCTTGCCCCAGCCACTCTGCAGCTCCGGAGAACTCTCTCACAGTAAGTCCTACCCTGCGCTGGCTCATTCCCTCCCCCACTACACTTGGCTGGGCAGGGCTGTGTACCACCTGCCATGTGCTAATGTACTACAGGTGGTACGTGTACCACTGGTTGAAAAGCCCTGGTATAAAGTACAACTGAAAACAGCTGCCCATTGTCAGCCCACAACCTATTGTTGCAGGAACAGGTTATAGAACATCGTAATAGCAATGGCAATTACATACTGCTCCAGTGCTTTACAGCAGGGGTCCCCAACCCCCAGTCCATGGATTGGTACCGGGCCGCAGCATGCCAGAAACCAGTCCACACAAACAAGCAAAGCCCCATCTGTGGGATGCAGGCAGTACATGAAACCACGCCCCCTCCGGTCCACAGAAAAACCTCTCTCCATGGAACCGGTCCCTGGTGCTCAAAAGATTGGGGACTTCTGCTTTACAGCACTGTCTGGACAGTTTACAGAGTCCGCATATTTTCCCCAACAATCTAGGTCCTCATTTAATGACCTTGGAAAGATGGAAGGCTGAATCCATCTTGAGTCAATCTGGATTGAACACCTGGCAGTGAGCAGAATCAGCTGCAATACTGCATTCTAACTACTGTGCCACCAGGGCTCTACCAATTTTTTCTTTCATCTGCACCTGCATGCACACATGTGCGTGCACGCGTGCACCCCCCCCCCCACACACACAGGGAGAGAAATAATAATTTTAGGGAGATTTGAGAAAGTTTGCTCTGTTTTTATCCCATTATTTTTATAACACTGTTATCTCAGTGTTTGTTTTAAAGGCTTTTCTTTGGCAAATGTATTTCAGCAGTACAATATTATTTTTTCTTTTAAGATGCCATCACAATCAAATGTCTGTGTTATTTTGTATGCTATAGTTTAAAACTTTGACAAGGAAGAGCCTTCTTCTCTGACTTATTTTCGTTACTTAGGAGAGATTTTGCTGGTTTTCTTCACAGAAATCACTCTGTGAAATATGACTTCTACGTCTTACAGCACAAAGCAGGAAAAAGATTGGCTTAATGGGGTTAAGCTCTTTTTCCATCTGTGTACTCTCCCCAGTAGTTCCCCTCTTGCTCTGCGCAAAATCCATAATTAGAGGTATTAATCTTCTATTCTGCTGAGAGGCCTCAGCAGTTCAATTGTTATCTGGGCAGATGATTAGTTTGCCTTGTGACAATCCAGAAGCAACTGTTCTTTACTGACTGCTTTATCTTCTTTTGCCTGTAATTTAAGAATAGTATTAGGAGGAAAAACTCATACAACGCAAGGAATCCAGCTTTGGTCCTGTCGATTGGATAAGTCTTACAATGCTCAGGCCGTGGGTAGTTTTTCCTCTTCCTTTTATATATTTTCTGCAATTATGATTGTCTGATTGTTCAATTTCAGTGCTTTCTGGCAGGCGGCCAAAATGCTCCACCTCTCCCAAACCCCAAATGTCCCACCTCTGACATCATCTTAGCCATTTGCTTTTGACCCTAAACCAGTAATATTACCACCAAGTTCTTGATATCTTCGTCATTCTTTCGCTTCATCTTCAAAAGTTTGTCGCGTTTCATCTGGTAGGCCTGAAGGACCTTTTGGAACTCCATCTGAAAGTGAATGAATAAATAAAGCATTTGCCTCAATACGTAGGAATAACTTCCAACATTAATTTTGGAGTCAGTACAATAGAGATTTGCAGCTTCATCAGAAAGGAAGTTTTTTTCCCCCAGCCTCACCTATCCCATGAAGTTGCTTGTTAGAACTCCTGATTCTCCCTTGATCTTCCTTAGAGAAAGGATATGAAAATAGTGGCATGCTGTTGTTTTTTCCTCTTTATACATTTTATTTCCAGCCACTAACCTCTCCAAAGGTGGGAAGGAATGATAAACCATGTACAGTGAAATTGTGATACAAACCTTGCAACCCTACCTCTTTGCATCCAGTGCCAGGACACAAGTATGAAAAAGGCGAGATGTAAATATGGAAGCTCCCACTTGGTGCTGACAATGGATGCAAACATTTAAGTTGCAGAGTTGCACTGTGCCTATGAGCCCCACTTTAGTTGCTTTACCACTGTTCCCTAATCAATAATTATTATCACCATCTTTTTTTTAAAATATATTTTATTAGATTTTATATGGGTGGGGAAAGGGAGGGGTCGGTGCGGGTACAGGAAAATCGGGATAAAGGGAACAGGGTGTGGGTAACTACAGTAAATACGTAATTCAGCGAACAAGCTGTCTTCATATTAAG